TTTTCATGATTGACGATTGTTTTCATGGCGGCCGAGTGGTGTCGCAACCCAGTGGTCCCGGGTTCGAGTCGCACTCTGACCACCAACTGGATTTGTCTCACAGTAGCTCTGAGTTCAAATCTTCGGCCACCTACGTTTGTAAATAGCCAACTGGCCTGCCTACGGCCGGTTGGGATTCTTAATTAACGTTACGTTCAATTTGGATAATTTGTTTCAGTTCTTTGCTCGGCCCCACTAGCCTTTGAGCCATTAACACTGCCAAGGGTAAGTGAAGGTTTTATTTATTATTTCATTTATTGACTTCGAAATTTTCATCCCCTCAATTTCAGTCTTCAATCCTCACTATGCAAGCCTGAAGAAACGAGCGATTGCCGAAAGACCGATTTTGATTGGTTTTGAAAATAACAAAAATGACCGGACATAAAACGTCAAGCAAATAGGTCGATTGAGTCTCTTTTTAAACTGTTAGGCATGCGCAGCTCGACCAGAAATGTGGTATTTTTTGATATTCCGATCAGAACTTTCCTGGCTTGCTTGATATCCAACCGTTGATCAAAGGAAACAAAGACTTTGGGCGCAATAATGAAATTCAAGGCGGGAGGGGGGAGAGTCAAATGAACTGACGTTATAGGTTGCACATGCGTCAAGCCCTTAAGCCATTCTTTTAAAATAGACACACATAGGATGATATACGTACCAGGACTTGGAGGTTGAGCTTCCAGAAAAAAGGTTAAGAACAAAAGAGAGAAAGTAAGTATTAGATATGAAGCAACATTGGTAAAAAAACGAGAAAATTACCAGAACCTCGAGGAATGTTTCTATCGTAATTTTCCAATACTGTACCGTTTCAAGCATGTCTTTAAGTCCTAGAAGTTTTGGGAATCGGGGTTCATTTATTTTAAAATGTCAGTGAATCCCATTTCCTAAAGATATGAATTCGTAGAAAGAGTTGCAAAAAGCATGGCCACCTCACTTCACCCGATAACTGAATCGGCCAGAGTCTTTATAGCCGAAACGTCTTAACCATGGCTGTTTGTTGGGCTGAATCTTAGCTACGAACCATTTGCCAAGTTATAGGCATCACCAAACGTATCTCAGAAGTCAAATGATATAATATTTTTAGAAAATGAAAGAATGATTAAGCTATTGCAAAAAATCCCAAGTCTGTGCCAAGCGGCTTATCAAGTAGTCAGCTGCTTTTAGAAATCACCATAAGTATAACCAGGGACGGATCCAGGATTTTTCTTAGGAGGGGGTTCGCTACTAAGGAATAAAGTAACTGACTGGTGAGGTCAACAAACTTTAAAAGCGTATACAAAGAAGGCTTCGTTTCAGGTAGGGGGGAGGGTGCGCACCCCTGCACCCTCCCCCTAGATCCGCCCCGGCCTGTAAAACGTAAAACAAAGAACGTAAGAAAATGTCTACTTTACTTGTATTGACAACAGAGCAGTTTGGGTAAGTCTGATGGACTCTTTCGTAATAGGCGCTGAAACCTGGGTGGGATACTGATCCATCCGTTATTAAGACAATAGTGACGACATTGTTGTGGCTGTAAACACACCAAGAATCTTGATACGCGCAGCGTTTTGTTGTTATAGGGTTCGATGCTAAGCTCCCGTCAAATATTTGTACGTAGTCATATGGGC